CTGGATTGGCCATCTGTCAGTGGGTTTATACCCACTGCAGCCGAGGTCTTTTAGGGCTAATGCGGCCCAGTTTAGTCTTTATTTTCCTCCATTTTTTCTCCAATGGAGTAGCCCATAATTTAGAAGAAGCAGCCCATTTATTCATTTACAAATTAGGCACCAAACTGAACCAATCAACATCAGTGGGAGAGCTACGTGGTAGCCAGGAGGGGGTCAGGAGTCATGTCCGGACACGCATTTTTACCAAAATCTGTCTTTATAATACAATATTTGATCCTTACAGTCAATGCCAATTACATGCATTATTTTCACACCCTAGCTAACATGGCTAAGAAGTCATTGTTAATGACGCAGTCACAGTTTGATGAAATAAAATGCACACAAATGTGGAACATTGCTCAACACATTCATAGTACAAGTAGGAACAAACCTACCAAAGTAAAAAGCAGTGACACTCTTCATGACCAACATACACTTTATCCTGCTCATCTATCCATCCATCCATCCATCCATTTTCCAATCCAATCGTGGAGGGTGCTGAAGCCTATCCCAGCTGTCTTCGGGCAGTAGGCGGGGGACACCCTGAACCGGTTGCCAGCCAATTGCAGGGCACACAGAGACGAACATCCGCGCTCACACTCACACCTAGGGACAATTTAGAGCGTTCAATCAGCCTGCCATGCATGGTTTGTAATGTGGGAGGAAACCGGAGTACCCGGAGAAAACCCACGCAGGCACAGGGAGAACATGCAAACTCCACACAGGGAGGCCGGAGCCGGGATTGAACCCACGACCTCTGCACTGTGAGATCGACGGGCTAACCACTGTACACCGGGCTGCCCAAAATATCTAAAAATATCTATATTTTTTTTCTTCAATATTCTTCATCCAATCTAACAAAAAAAACATTTCTATGTAAAGTACGTTTTTTCAGTTACCATCATGAGCCAATTTTGCTTTTTTGTTTGTTTGTCAGTTCACATGATTGAAGCTGTGAGAACACATTTTGATGACATCAAAGCAGGAGCCAACGCTAGCTTTCTTTTGATTAAAAAAAGAAAACGTATGTGATGTTTTTTTTACATTTGTACTTGAGATTTCAGTGTCTGAACTTTTTCATTTTAATTTAAGGAGTCAAATCAGTACTTGTACTTTTACGAGAGTCTGGGATTTCTGCTTGAGTACAGAGTGTGATTACTTTTGCCACCCCTTCCAAATGTTGATACAAATCCAACATGAATCATACCTACCGATGCGTGTGAAGCATAAACACACCATTGTCAACAGACGATCCCCACTCCGCCCCCCCCGTTCTGCATGCTGAATTGAAAAATCGATCTGCCCAAACAAGGCGAGTCAAGTGAAGTGGAAAAATCCTGATTTTTTTTGTTCTTTTTTTTCGCTATTGATGTTCATATTGAAATTCATGAGCTATTTTTTTCTGCAAAAAGCAATGGATTACTGCTACAAGGCAGATAGTCTTCTCTCCAAATATGTTTGAATATTTTGTCACACATTTCTACCCACTGACAATTTTGAAAATGAGGAAACCTGCACAAGTCAACATTCGAATCCCAAATTGTGAGGCAGACTTGCTATTGTAATCTCCCAATTCTTATATAATGAGGCTATTAGCTGCCACCTGAATTAGATGTACTACGCCGTGTTGTGTCTCAAAGAGTGTAGTCGTCATGTGAGGGAAATCTCTGCTGCATTTCTGTAAGTGACGCGGTATGCGCACATGGCTGAGCAACGCCACATCCAATCATGCTTATAAATAATAAAGCATGCATCGAGCTTGATTTATGTTGGCAAGACCAGACCCACTTTGGGTTGGTACATGCCCGCCTGATGCATATCTATGATATGTGACCCTAACATCCAAGTATGGTTGCTGTCCTGTGAAAAACAAGTTCATCCATTTGTGGAATTTTCAAAATGTTTATGTCAACATAAACATTTTGAAAATGAACAAAATGAACCGATGTGTTTTTCACAGGACAGCAACGAAATGATTGCTCTGAGTGTTTTGGGAGATGTTGCCAACACATACCGAATTCAACACACTGAATTTGACTTTGAGTATTGAATTCAACAAATAGGAAGTACAAAAATGGTATTCGCGTTGAGAGCAGCGCTGGGTCATACAGCCGTCTCCCATGGGATCAGGAAGTCAGGCAGATCCCATCCTCGTGAGATACGATTATAAATCAGTGCCAGCCCCCCCTTCCCAGGAAAAGGCGTCGACCCGAAAGTGTACATGGACTAATATGGTGTCATCAGTATTTATCAAAGCAGCTAGTTTGTGCGCGTGGGTGTGCGTGTGTGTATGTGAGGGAAGTGAATATTGTAGCATAAGAATATATCTCTAACTCTTGTCAGTATTACACCAACCTAAAGGAGAAGCAGAGTCGCTGATGGTGTCGTGGTACAAACGCCCGACTTGTGTGCGGGCAGCGTAGGATCGTTTCCCACTCAGTGACTGGGAAATCTCCAAACTCCCAAATGTCCGCTGGCATAGGCTCTTGTGACCCTGTTCAGGATAAACTTCTTTAAAAAATAAAAGCACTTCTTTCAAAAAAATCTGAAACAGATGAAATAATAATCACTCCATCACATCGCCGAATTACACACCCTTTGTAAACTCTAATGGGAATAATAATGTATTATTGATCACCATTTCTATCCTGAATCGGCTTTTCTAACCACGTATTTTGCGTTTACTTACAAAGCAAACACTCCAAGAAGCTCGAAGTGATTGTTTGCCCAGCTAAGTGAGTGCGAGTAAGTCGCGGGTCGTGATTCAAGCATTCAGCCTACTGCTGATTCATGCACCCGACTCATCCGCATCAGAAGGAGCTGTCTGAGGGAGAGAAGGCACGGCAGGAAGTGAGGGGATGACTAGAGACAGCAACCAGACAATGAACTGTTGAATCACAGAAAATGGAAATAAACAAAATCCAATCAGGATGATGGCCCGCAGAGCGAATGGCAGGAAGAAGATGAGCTGGAGGATGAAGAAAGCGCGAGTGTAGGTTGGTGCGATGAATGCTGGCCTCCTCTCACTCACTCATACGCTGGGGAATGCTTTGGTTCGCTGTTAACACGGCAACCAAAAATTAATCATTTTCTTTACCCGCTTCACTGCAGCGTTTGTTTCGTTTGAGTGCAAGATAAGTCGGGCAAGTTGACGCGGTTACTGTAGACAGAGATTTTTTTTTCATTGACTCTCTTTTAATTCTAATGTCAATTTAATATAACTATGAGTATCCCTAAACTCCAAAGATATCCTACACATGCATATTGTCCAGAAAAAATTCAAATGTAATGTTAACAATTTTTTATTTTTAGTGAAAAAAGATGTGATGTGATGAGATTTTTTTTTTCGATTCAAGATAGTCTTAACAGACATATTTTGTCAGAATGATAAATTGTTATGAGAAGAAAGTCAAATTTTTCCAAGATAAGGTTAAAAAAAATGATATTAAAGTCAAACTCAAAAATTTTTTTGAACAAAAATGCTCTTTTTGAGGTCTCGTGAAAAGTGCTAATTTTGGAGGTATGAGGATTCCACCTGACGCCCCCATTGTTAGACAAACCAAATGAAAATATGGTCTAAATGTTCTGTGTTGTCTATTTTGAAATTCAGTCACTGGTCACGCACATGATGAGGAAGTGCATACTGTTGGTGGTTACTGGTTAACTTGTGAAATATATTGGATCAAGAGAACAAATTGGAGATGAGATGTCTTGTACTGCACTCAACACTACCATGTGGGTGGACATGTGAGTTTGTCCTTTCTGTCACCTCCATCAAGGGGATTGCACCTCTTCAAGTTTAGCCTCACAACCTCTCACTCTTAAAAGGGTGCAAAGGAAGACCCTTTATTTATTTCTTTTCTCGTTATCTGAGAAAAGCTTACACTGTATGTGCCTATGGGATGTTTCAAATCATGTCATATTAACTGAGTGCATTGCATGTGCTTTGTTGTTGGTGCTGCAGACTCGGTTCGAGCGTTCAAAGATTTACTCCTCTGGGATTCAGTCGGGAATTGAAACATCCTGACATTCAAACATCGTAGCGCTTGGATCAGCCGTGTTTTGCCTAATTCTACAGATATGGAGGAAACGTGGTTCGAAAAAAAAACATACAAGCACTCTTTAATGACGCTAATGAAGAAAATGTGTTACAGCTGAAAGAAGACTGGAGTTTTGGGGTCAGATTTTATATTGTCATGACAACACTAGTTAATTTCATTCAAAGTTACAGCCACTTTCTCTCATCTATCTATCCATCTAGCTAGCTAGCTAGCTAGCTGTCTATCTATCGATCTAGCTAGACAGCTAGCTAGCTATCTAGCTGTCTATCTATCTAGCTAGCTAGCTATCGTCCTCACAGTTTAGCGGTTGGAGATTTGAATCTGGCCTCCGGACTTCCTGTGTTATAGTCTCCCCAATGATTGAATTCTTGCCGAACGGGGGAAAAAAATGCATTGTTGGGTCAGAACCAAAAAAAAAAAAAAAAAAAATCAACCAATGAAGTAATTAACTTACCAACTGAACAACCAATGAATCAATCCTCAATCAACTAGTGACTCTCACTTACAAATATTGTCTCACTTTTTGAATAAAGGCTTCTTTACACATGGGCGGACAGCGACCGTGCGGACATCAGTGTGGCAATGCCGCGAGCGAATTGCCTTTTGTCATTGTTGACAGCGTGCACAATAAATAACATGTGACCACCCCCAGGACAGCCCCCGAGAAACAAATAGGGGAACTCCACAGAGAAGATAATGAAGAAGCCTTTCGGATGAAACAACAACAACCAAAGCTCGTCCAGTTGCCTCCGTTCAACTTTTGCAAAGGCTGCGCAGTTGTATTGCGTTCAGTCCTCTCTCTCTTGTCTCCCCTGACCCTTATTTTCTTTGTCCATATGTCCGTGCGTTCTCAGCTCCGGGGCGGCCCTCGTGGCCGGGATGCCACTGCGTGCCGTGCCAGTCGGCAGTGGACGGTGAGGCCCAGGAGGAGGGGGCCGAGTGCAGGCAGCTGAGGGGGGGCAGCCCGCACCAGACTGGGGACATGAACCTCTGCTGGAACGAGATCAAACGCAAGTCGCACAACATCCGGTAAGAGGACGATCACGTGTATAAATGGGAACTCGGTTACTATGGCGACATGAGCTCCATACAGCTGAAGAAATAAATGTTTTGCTGTTCAATTAAGTAAATGAGCTGTATCCCCCACCCCAAAAAACTGCCTTTGCAATGATAATAATGCTCACATTTGAATGTCACTATCAGAGAGGCATTACGGTAATTGAAATCGTGACATAACCTAGATTAGGAGATGGTCTTATCAAAAAGGTGAAGCAAATTTGGACATAGGTTTCCCCCCTGACAGTGAACGTACAGTACAGTATTCTTTATCTTCTGTAAAGAACGACTAATTCTACTGTAGCATTACCGAGGAGAAGTGCACACGAGAAGGAACTGATTGAAAGAAAACAAATGTAGCTATTTGTGGCTTCATTTCTTTCCATTCTCTTTAAAATGTCATAAATGTTTTTTACTAAGCCCAAAAAATAACAAATAAAAACATATGTTTTATAATGTTTTTTTTTTTTAAGACATCAACAGATTAATGACAGTTGTACTCATTTTGATGGGGAAGGATTACACTAGTCAACACATTTTTAATCAGAGATGTAAGTATACTTTTCTGGGTTCAGTTTTTGCTCTCATTCTGACCCTGCCCTTGTTTTTTCTCTCGCACATTAGGTTTCATAATAATAATAATGATAACAATTATAGTAATGATGATAATTTAATACAAAAATGCAAAATGTAATATGTCAACAGTTTTAGTAATACTTATGAATTAAGGGTTAGGTTCAGCAGGGTTTTGAATTTTTTTTCTGAAAAGTGAACACTAGAAACACACGGTAAAATCCGCAAGGTTTTATAGGTTGACGTTAAAAGCAAAAAAAAAAAAAAATCTGATTTGGTCATGGAATGAATTCAGCCCTATTGCAAGGCACCAGAAATGATGGAGCAACACATGTAGACAGACAATAAACCAATCATAGTGAAAATGGCCTTTCTGAAAACCGTTGTGCTGTATTGTTGGAATTGTGCCTGCTGAAAAGTATTGTCCATGTACACGCCCAAAGTGGAGTGGAAGCTAATGATGTGCGTTTGTATATCATGGCTGAATTTATGTTTGTGTGTGCGTGTACATCCGTGCGTGTGTGTGCGTGCGTGTGTTTTCCATTTACTCCCTGCCGAGTCATCTTATCCATCATTGCTAGCAAACTAATGCTGCCTCGATTGCGTTCATGTTTGCTCGCGCCAAACTATTAGACGCCACTCATGTTGCTCTCTAATGCTTAACTGGAGACCGTCCAGGCTTTGACGCATCATTTCCGACCCCTCATACTCCACTCTTGGGATCCTGTTCAGACAATTGCACCCCAACCTCCTACTTAATGGCTTACTTGACCCCGGCGCGTCTAATGTGGAATAGGGAGGATGGTGGGGGCAGGACAGTTGTGAAATTGGTTAAGACACTTTCCCCCGCAGCTTCCGTGTAATTAGATCAGCGAGTAGGAGAGAGGGAGTGGAGGAGTGGGATGAATACAGCAGTGAATTGATAGGGATGGAGGGAGCAGGTAAAGGGCGCAAAGGCAGATGCTACTAAATCATCCTCGAGAGAGATGCAGGGAAACAGGGAGGTAAGTGTAGAGTGAATGAATGAGGCAGAGCTGGGGTAACCTTGAGAGCCAAGTGTGTTTTTATGCAGGACAAGCGCCATAGAATTTGCTTTGTCATGCCCGCCCACCCACACCCCCGACGTTGATTGACAGCCGTTTGAACCTCCGCCTCATTAAAAGTTGTTACGCTTGATCCTTTTTCTTCCTGAAGCAGTTGACAAACTTGTACACCTCAAAAAATATTTACAGTAGCTCTTCAAGAAGCAACACAATAACCAACTTCAAAAGATATACTTGCAATGCAATTCTTTGGTGAAAAAATAATCCAAATTTTACCCCCCACCTGCATTGTAAGGTTGATAAAAATGACAAAATAGTGAAAAAAAGGCATACTAACATTCCAACATGATATTTCATATGTATGTAATATCAAATTAATATAAAGTTGTCTGGCGGTGTTGCGCACATTTCATTTCCTGTTTCTGCACCAGTGCAACTGAATAAGAGCTTATTTGCCTCACAACTGCTTGATAATCTTCTCAGCACCGTTTTAATGATGTTGACGCAATTTCGACTTTCTGAGAAAATTTCCCTGGACAGAAAAAGTTTGAGAACATCCGCTCTAAGGCCATGTTGGTATCCTGTGACTTAGCCTGGAATGAAATGGAACTTCACTTGCTGCAAATGCGACTTCCAAAATTGAGTGGGAAAAGACACGTTTTTTTTTTTTTCCTTGAAGGCGGGGATGAAACAGGTGGAATTGGCGCATGAAGATAAGAGTGAAGCTGGGAGATATGCAATGTTTATGCATGGCATGAAACTTATCAGTGTGACACAGTGTCACTCTGCTAATTGGACTCTGAGATGATAACAAAAGGTTGGCGGTGTGATCACTTTTTTTGATGTTTGGTGCAGAAAGAAGGCCAACTCATTAAAGGACACACGCGCGCACACACACACACACACACACACACACACACACACACACACACACACACACACACACACACACACACACACACACACACACGTTGAGCAGTACATGACCGACTGTGAGAGCATTAGCAACATCCACAATCGACCTGTGGATGATATATTTTGTCAAGTCATGTCAGCTTTATTGTCGAATATGTTCTGTGCCACATACAGCACAGATGAAATTTATTTCCTCTCAACCACAGAAGAGAGAGGAGCCGCCGCGGGTACCCGCAACGTAATATGACAAAATAATACAACATAAAATGACAAAATAATACAACACATTGTCCATCTCTGATAACATAATGTAAACAGCTGTCTCTCCATGGCTGAACAACCAATTGAATTGATCGATGTAGTAGAATGCAATCGCCGCCCCTAGCCCCCTGCAAAAAAAAAAAAAAAGTTTAATTTCGGTCTGTCAATTCATATGCCCGGACAATGAAAGCATCAAGCAGAACACTGCAAGGCACGAACATAAATTGGAAAATAATTGGTCACCAACCCACATCGCTTTATACTGTGTCGATGGAATCCCACTTTTGAGTGACATCATCATCATGACGAATGTACTGATGGTGAAAATGGATCGGGGAGTTGCATTTCTTCTGCGTTCCAAACGCGCCAATGTTGACGCATGGACGCGTGTCACATGGTGAACCGTCTACCTCGCCACTCTGACTGGACGCAGGCGGCCATTTGCATGTGAGGAATGAGTGCTTGCGCATTGTTCAGATTGTTGCAGACAGTCGACCACCACCAGCCGATGTCGGTTCGAGTTACGAGGCGACATTTCAGGCCCGCTGTTCGTCACTGTCTCATTTGGTCATCTCCAGAGTCTTAATTCATTTGCAAGTGTCACTATTTGCTATTGTCGCTTTCTTTCAGTCCTTCCTGTCTTTCTCTGGTCATGGCTCAGTGCAAAAAAAAAAAAAAAAAAACGCCCTTGGGGGGTTTGGTGCCCCATTTTCTCAGCCTCATCTCTGGGCAAACTCCTGTGTTGTGTCTGCAGGATAAACTGAGATCCATTTTGGATGTTTGTGTTGCTTCTATTGTTCAAGGTTAGTGGCTTAAAAAACAGGTAAATACCAGGGAAGGCATTGTTTGCACTGTGTGCGTAACAATCAATTTGGGCATTTGTAAAATTGAGCGTCATCCACTTCAGATACATTGTCACTTCTTTTAACCAGGCATCTCTCTCTCTTTAAGTTCAGCAGGTAAGAACTGTAATTACATTGAATCCATGGGAGGCTTTTCGCACTCTGAAATCACTCAGCCGGTTTCCTTCCTACTACCTTCTGGCATCATTGCAATGTTAGTCTGGAATTTAACATTTTTTTGAATTACATTTCTTTTTTTTTTTTTTTTAATTATTAAGTGCGCTGCAAATGTGTGGGGTGTATTTCAATGGTTCACAGTCTGTGAAAATATCAATTTTCTGTTTGCCGTTTCTTATATAGCGACACATAGATGCTGTCATTTTTATAAGCGGTTGCATTTGAGAGACTAACATCTTTGTATGTTGGCAAAGGAGCCAAGTCTAGCCTGGCCTGTTAGTGGAGCGATTTTACAGGCTCCTGTCTGGTGTGTGTATGTGTGTCAGGGTTAAAAAAAATAAATAAATAAAAAAATAAAAATAAAAAAATAATTTTTAATAAGTAATGTGTTAGCCTTTTATTTTTAAATACATCATGGTATCTCGTTTTCCACAGTTTACGTTTTTTGGTCTAAAAATGTTTTTCATACAAATATTCACCGTTTGCATAGGTTGCTTTTAAACGACAACACTTTCTAAATTCTGTCCAAATTCAAGTTACGTTGTTGCCATTGGAACGGAAATGATCATACAACTACTCATTTATAACCAAGGATTTCTTTTTAAAATGTCGTAAACCCCCTATATAATAGATGTCAAACTCAAGGCCCATGGGCCAGATTTGGCCCTCCACATCATTTTATGTGGGTCGCAAAAGCAAATCATTTGTGTCAGCTTGCATGATCCTTGCTAAAATCTGTACCGAAATGTCAAATTGTCATTATAATAAATAATTGTTCTTTCCCGTTTCACTCACTTGAACAATAATTGAACAAACTAATATACCGTAATTGACTTGACTGATTTCAAAAGTAGTAATCCATTCATTTGTTGTGCATAAGTAATGATTTTGTGGTTTCACTGTCATAATGGCCCTTGGAGGAAAGACTTCACTCCGAAGTGGCCCGCAACAAAAATGAGTTTGACACCAGTGCCGTGGCTGGTTTAAACTATGACAAAATTAATTTTCACACTAGACTTCCAAAATATGTACATCAGTTTGAGTCCATTTTTCCCCCCACAACACTGATTAAAAGGTTGTATGATGTAGTTTCGTGAACTTAGCCCATGCTGCATGGATCGGGGAGTTGCCCATGCTGCATCTTTTTCAGGTATACCCATGA